TATTTCTCTTCATCCAAATATTATTTTTAAGGGAACAGATTATTAATAGCTTCTCTCTCTCTCTCTCTCTCTCTCTCTCTCTCTCTCTCTCCCTCTCTCTCTCTCTCTTTCTCTATGAAATGGAAGGTTTTGCAATTGTTTTGAATAAAAATACCAGGTTATGGAATTTCAGGGAAAAGGGGGGGGGGGATGTCTATCTTTTTTGTTTGTCATCAAAGACTGTGCAAAATTGTTCTGTTTAGTAGAAGGAAATCATAATGCACTACTTGGCTTGATAGTATTGGAGATTGACATAAAAGTTGGAAGTCTAACATCATAGACCATAGTTAACCGTTCTGTGTTGAAGGGGTCGTTTAAAACAACAACACAGCTCTCACCCGCACGCTCTCTCTCCCCGATTATTCTGATCACGAACAAAATGTCGCGGATCGATTAGAGATGGACTAAAAAGATATCACGAGCTCTTCTTTTTTAGCGGGTGGCGGACTTTCCGAGAATTCTCTTTGATCTGAGCGTCGGCTGAGTTTCATGTTTGCCTCTGTACCTACATTCTCCCCTCGTGTCACGCTCCAGTTGTCCAAGGGGGGGAGGGGGGTAACAATGTAGTAGAGTTGGGCAGGAAACAATGAATTCTAGGACAGGCTGAAGGCTATTGTTAGGACTGACTATAAAACGACGAGAAGACGGGAGGTTCTTCTGGTAATGATGATACTCTCGGCCTATTCCTGTAGGGGCGAGTCGTAAAAAGCGAGACGTTTGAAGTGGAAATTTAATATTGCAATTGGCTGTATCAGTTTGCTCGTGGGAAAGGTGACTCGCGTCCATACGTAAGTAAATTGTCGACTGAGGGAAACAGAGCTTAACGAGTTATTTAATTTTTTTTTGCTTTTGTCTCGTGCCCTTTTTTGTAATGGGTCCCAGATGTCAGTTACGTTTACGGCTTAATGTGTGTCAGAGATTGTGGTGATGATGATGGTGATGATGATGATGATGATGATGATGATGATGATGATGGTGATGATGATGATGATGATGATGATGATGATGGTATTGTCAGAGATTAGGTAACGCTGTTGAGAATCTGTTGAATTGAGGATGATACGCTTGTTAGCTGGGGGTTTTTTAATTTTATGTTCAACTCTAGATCCCTCCGGGCTACCCTTAGTGGTCGGACATATCTCTTATTCCCTCTCCTCGCTTAGAGCAGAGTTTAGCGAGGTGTGTGAGGTGGGGGCTGCCCAGTTTGTCACCAAAAAATCCACGGCTAAAGAATCGAACCAGGGACATTTGCATAATAGGTCAGCATGACACCGACTGACCTAATGGTATGTCGTGTTACTCATTAGGTTAACCTGTCCTTTCGTATTTCCACTTAAGTCCTGAGGAGGTCGTGAAGGCTATCGTTCTCATCTTTATATCTCTCCATCGATTATTGCCGATTGTATATCGACATTTGCATTTTGCCGTTTGCACATTAACGCTTGCAGTCCAATGAACTTATGACAACGGTGGACTGCGAGTCCGAAGTCTTAACCGCGAGGCCAGGTTACAAAAATGCTTAAGTTTTTCCTAACCTCTGGGTACATTACTTTTACTTTTTTACTTTTTCATCCTTTGTTGCCGTTAATCGTCGAGGGGGGATGCAGTTTTCTATGGTAGGGCAGCTCCGCAGCTCTTTCAGATTTGATATTATGTTTTCTCGGGGTTTTCTTGACACCTTCGATCCACCTTTTGCGTGTTCTTCATCTTCCTTTATAGCCTGAGTGCTTGGTGTTGTTGGCTCTCGAGGCTGGCTGGCCAGGTGACATACGTAAATGGTGGTCAAACCATTTTATTCTCTATCTTTCTATGTAATGCATATAGCTGCTCTTACTTCTTCATTTCTCTGCCTGTCTCGTCTTGTGATGTTAATTAAGGGTTTTGCGGAGACATTTCATTTCGCATGCTGTGATTTTGCCTTCATGGGTTTTACCTATTGTCCAGATCTGGTACTGGTAGCATAATGTTGTTATGAATATTGAGGTGATAAGCTGTCTCTTTGTGTCCGTGTCTTTGTAACCTCTGGGTAAAACATTGAATCCCTCTATGTCACTGAGTACATGCATTCTGACTACCAAAAAGGAAGCACAGTTTTGTTATTCAGTTAATTCAGACATGTTTTCTCTTTCCGAAACTTACAAAGACAGACGACAAACACTATGCATATTGTCAAACATACAAACCCGTGTTTCTAATGCGTGCATAATGATTCGGAATAATGCTGCAGCATTGCATTTGGTCCGCTGATCGGATATATAATAATATATCGCGACGTCTTTGATTTATGGTGTGACTATAAATTACAGATACTTTTTCTACAAAAATCTACCTCTCGCTAACTCATTTGTCGAGATTGTTTACAGCTGAGTTCGCCCCAAAAGGGGGAGAGAAAAAAGACATGAAGCTCAAAAAGAAGATTTTTCCTGACAATGGGAGGTTGAAAACAAAATTTCGTTCAGACAAAAACTAAACAAAGGTCATACTTTGTCTAAATTAGAGGAACCTTGTAATATTCCCTTGGTTTCGAGAAATAAAACTTTCCTCTATCTTCCACCCCAAATAAAAGAATCTACAAAAAAGCAAAGCAACCCCAGAAACAAAGAGAGAAAACAAAGACAGTCGCTCATTTACCTGCGCGCTGGTGCTGCTTCTACGTGCAGTGTGAATAAGGAAAGAAAAACAAAGCAAAACTCGATTGTACTGGAAACTTGTCATAATCATAACTGCGCACGTGAATTCGTTTTCCTCGGAGCGGCCGTCTTTAAAATAAATCATTTATTGACATAGCTCATGGGGCTTTGTTATTCGCGCGTGCAGTAAAACGACTGCGAGGGGATTATTTTTTTGACAGGCGGATATCTTGAATGCGCAATAATTTGAATGAAACTCTTGTTTTTACGCCCTTGTTTGTCAGCCCTTGCTGCATTGGACGGGTCGTTCGTTGTCCTCCCCGCGTCCTGCGCGCGCATGTTTTCAAATTGGTTTACGATCGGCGTGGGCCGATCATGAACGGGGGTCGAATGGACATGAAAGTTTGATGTGACCTGGGAGACATTAGGCGGTGATTGAACCCAGACGCAGAGAACAGTTGGGCTACGGTGCTATAAAAAGGACAAGGCGGATCTACGACTTGGAATCAATGAATAGCGTGCTGAATGGGTTTTTCCGTTCATTTACCTATGCCTGTTTGTGTCTTGACGGACGATCGTAAAGCAGTATGCATGCTACAGCTCTGCCTGGGCGGTTGACTGAGAGGAAGCAGGTTGCCCAATTACTGCTCTCTCTCTCTCTCTCTCTCTCTCTCTCTCTCTCTCTCTCTCTCTCTCTCTCTCTCTCCCTTCCTTCTGATCTGGAAATCCTTGATATGCCCCAAAGGAGAGACATGGTTAATACGTTTAAAATCAAGGGAGCAGTAATACTTATTTACTTTACTTTTTACTTTTTCCTTCCTCTGGTGTCCTTAGGATGTCGAAGGGAGGTGCAAGTTTCTGTCTAGTACTCAAATTGTTTAAATAGGTCAACTATATGAGGACTAGTGGTGGGGGGAGCGGAGGGGTGTGTAGCATCTGTGATAGATATGTTGTTCCAGGACCTTTTTAACCCCATCCAGCCAGGTCTTTCTTGGTCTAAGGAAGCAGTAATAACATTCTTTATTCTTTCCCTCATTCCCCTCTGTAATTTACAGGCGTCTGTTGTGTTATGGTTAGACTCCTTGCTGTCAAACGTACTGTCATGTACTGAGAGTTTGGTCACTGAGTGGATAATTTTCTTTTGTCAATTATCATCACTGTCTAACTGCTGGGATACTGTATCCCCCCTTAACCCACATTGGTCATGACGGGCAGGATCATGGCAGCCTTCCTCCTGAATTATCTACATTGTATTGAAGGGGATGTAAAATGTTGAGAGTTAAAAAAAACCCCAATGCAAGTGTATTCCTTTCTGAGCTAACTGACGTCAAGATACGTACTTACGTATCCCTGTATATCCGCCCCC